CAACATGAACCTGTCGTTGGCAGGAGCAACCGATTTTGTCAAAGCCAAAACGCCAGGCATAAAAGTTTCTATTCCAATTAAAGCTTCTCTGCTACCATATTCATGAAAAAAGCATCTAAATTTTTACTGAAACTATACGTCTTTTTGTGTGTTTCTTCCCAGTTTTCTCGAGTTTTCGTATTCTGGTTTTATATCTTTCAACTTTTCAATTTTTGTCAGCCTCGCTTTGAAAATACACAACTTCACTGATCTCAAATTAGTTCGCAAGCAACACTGGAATTTTAATGAATTTAATTTTTACATCTGATAAAAAATAAACACGTTATTTACCGGCAGCGTCGGTCCGGATGAGAAAAACTGTGCCCTCGGTCTTGAAAACGTTTCAAGACCTCGGGCCAGTGCTTCCGTTATCAAAAAACGTAATTTCCTTCCAGCCGTTCAAGATTTCCTTATTTTTGAGAAAATTTCCTTGCAGTAAAAATTATTGAATTTTTACCTAATTTAAAGCTGATTTTATAGTAATTTATCTCGAATAACGGGGAATTTCTTCTTCTAGAAAGAACATAGACGTTGCCGTGGCTGAATTATCAAAAGCGAGAGACAAAGAGTTTACCTAGATTAACACGAAGGAGAATAATCAGGGGGGTCTGGGGGTCCTCCCCTCGAAAATTTTCAGATTTTGCACCTCGCAGGACAGGATTTTCAGCATATTTTGAAGCGCATTTCCTTGGAAATTTCCGTATTCTTAGGATTTTTTAGAAATAAGGCATTTCCTTCACATTTCCTTCAATCTTCGGAAATTTCCTTCAAATTTCTTTCAGATTCGAATTTCCTTTTAATTTCCTTCAACTTGAACAGCTGGGAAATTTTTTTGTCGCTGTGCAGAGAAATTGCTGGCGCACGCAATATTTTACAAAAATTCGAAAATTTGAAAAAACAACATGAGTGAAATTTCAACTTATGAGTTTGCATTTTTAAGACGCCGATCAAGGAAATTAAATTGTTCGAAAAACTTCATTAACATCTCAAGTATGGAAAGCATCTACATTACCAGCAATTTAATTGTGGATGGATTCGTAATTCAGGCGATAAAGTTACATAGCTAGGAGTTGGCTTTTCTGCTCTTCGAATATCAGTTTTCATTAGTGGATTATCACAACTTGTTGATGTCATTGGTGCCAAAATCGACATAAACGTAAACTGCTAACCAAGAGCTATAAAACTAATAGCTTTTCAAAAAGATAAACTTTTCGTCCGTATGTTGTGGCACAAAAAAGCAACCAGAAAACAAGTTTCATTAAGCACTCTTTAGCACTGAGTAAGTTTTACAAAACTTACCATTCTTGACCACGCCGAATCCGAAGAGTTCCCAAGTCGTAGACCCGCAGTTTTTCTGTATTTTGCCGTTTTAATCGTCGCTCTTCATCAATAACACGGCGCCATCTTTAATTTATTTCGTGCCTGTTCACAAAATTCCATTCGTTACACTTCCTTACATTATACCCAGGCCACCAAATTTATGACCGAGTAAGACATTTGAATGATGGAATGTAATCTAGCGGACCTCTATAACAGAACTGGACGGTTTGTGTCGAACTGTGCGGAGGCTTGTTTTGAACTTTTACTGGTGTTTTTACTAATCGCTTTCTTGTTTACTATCAATTGAGCAATCACTACATTCAAATACGTCATTATCACTATCATCTGGGTCATCGCTGTCTGCTTTACCGTTCTTACAGTCGCAACATTTGCACACATCGGTACACTGTAAACCAGATTTTTTACACGAACATCGGTTGTTCTCACATCCCTTAGTAGATTTACAGTTTACTAACACAAACATAGAGTCAGGAGCTGGAGGAAGACTCATCCATTTGACACAGACCTTTCCACTCTCATCAATACTCCAACCATGCTCTGTGAAATTTGGAAGTTTAAGAATGGGTTGTGTAGCATTTCTCCAAATATAACATTGATAAACGGCGCGATAAATGTGTAGCAAAAGAGAATCTTCATTAGGTGGTAGCAACTCTTCCTCGCATTTCCCAGCTTTAAGCGCAAGGTACCGGACTAGGTTTACATCAGACTGGTGTTCATACCCATAAAAGTGGCATACATAATTGGATAACTGAAGTGTTATCTCATCTGATGGTGATACGGATGTGCCCAAATTTGCGAAACAGGATAAATGCACATCTTTGCTTCTTGCTACTTTTAAAGTAGTGGCTTTTCCTTTTCCGTGAAACGAACTTGTAGTATCACAACCTTAAATTCCGGGATGGACAATATGATAAAAATTATGAAGGTAATTACAGCGAACGTTATGAGAACGCCAGACCATTTATGCATCTGTCCAATGTAGTTAATATTTTCACTAAAAACCTAATAGCTGTTACTAATATGCCAGGAATATTAGTGTAAAGCGATTGGATCAAGCCAATAAAATATACTAGCTTTTATCGTATGGACTGTATTATAAATATACCTGTGAAGCTACGTGTTGTTTAACCTTCTGAAGGGAAATTCTTCTTCTTTTGTTTTGATTCCCGGTCTCGAAGAATATGTGTGCACTGATGTTGGAACATGCATTCGATTTCAAAGCAATGAAAAACACGTCCGTGTCTGGACTTTTTATAATTACATTTGTGTACATCAGAGATGCGTTCTTAGCATGGCATACCTAAAGAAAACTTGAATTGTGAGTAGTAGCTATAAACAAGTTTGTTACACCGATCACTTGATCATGCACATTACATTACCTAAATCTTGATGGGGCTTTTTGACCTAAAAGAGGGCTAAACAGTCTTTTCGAGTTAAATATGGGGGGGGGGGGATATGTCGGAAATTTGAAAGTTTTGTCGGAAATTTAGAAGGCTTTGCACCCCTCAACGGAAAAGTGAATTTCCGCCACTGTCTATAAATACAGTCGCTTGGTTACTTCCTTTTTTAATGTGCGTACCATTCTGGTGTCTGCTTCTTCATAATCACATGTTAATTCTTCAACGTTACAGCAGATCAAAGCACTACTCGATTCTGTTAATTTGTGGCATTTGTTTTCGTGTGTGATGAAGACCTCGACATCATTTAGAAGTTGGGGATTTGCTATGCTCCAAACTTCGAAAAGGAATTTCATCAACTTTACTTTGTTCTTTCCATTGGGCAAAAACTTGTTCCATTGACGAGGGACACGCTGTTGTTCACCGTAAATCTTCACCTAGAACGATCCACCTTCACTGCGTTTCTCCCGTTCTAGGTTCTTGATGCTGTGTGCTGGATATCGGTCGCCAACGAAATCAATTCTTTTCGATCTTGACAATGTCGCCATCTTTATAATTTTCATCAACAAATCATGCGCTAGCTCACCAAACGTGCTTGAAGTTACGTATACCTTCATCTTCTGAAGTATGGCCATTGCATCAACGATCAGAGAACTTTCGCCATCAACGCTTTCCACAAATGCATCTTGAGTTTCACTCTCAATTGTGTTGAGCAACTTTGACATGGCGGTCTTTACGAGATTTCCCTCCACGGTTGCTGAAGGTAATGGGACCGGTCTCAACGAATACTGCAAAACATCTTTCATACCCAGATCTCGGCTTCTTGCAATGAGGACCATTAGCAAACAAATTCTTTGAATTCTTCAACGCCACAATCTCACCTTTCTTTGTCTTGCTTGTAACCTTCTTGTTCATGGAAGTGATGTTCGTAAATTCATCTTCTTAATTGGCGTGTAGATATCAGGATTCTCCGAAAGGATATTTGTCTCTATACAACTCACTGCTGCAGCTTCACCTCTTTCGTAGATGTTCTTTATGTCAGATTCAACATCATCAGAGGCGACAGATCCATTACAGAAATGCACAAGGGATGGATACTCGTTATAGAAAGGGTTTATCATCGTGTTGACTAACTCCATAACGTCTGCGACAGCAGCATCATACTTGATTCTAGTTTTACCAAGTCCTTTAGTCCTCTGCAAGATTGTGAATACAACGATGGTAACTAGAGCTTACATTTAACATCAGAACATTATGCTGCATTTCAAGGCTGCCTGAAAAAATGTCTCATCAAAGAATCAAGGATATTCTAATACCTTGTTACTTCTGATATATTTGCCATGTCTTGACACCTTCTCAATTCAATTCAATTCAATTCAAAGGTCTTTTTAATAGATCAAAAGATAAAAATACATATCTTACGTTACAAGTATATATTAAGAATACATTAGTAAAGTTTACATCATATGAATAGGTTATAGTTAAAAATTAATCTATTTGCAAACGACGATTTAAAACGTTCCATGTTCACTCTTGGATACTGACTATAAACTCTGTCCTCAAAGAGTAGCTTGTGGATTTTTTTCTTGTTATCAAGTCGACTATGGCACTCTTCTGATTTACAGAAGCTTTAAAAATATTTCTGTCTTGTATTTCTAAAAGATATCTAATATTTACAGGTTCTGATGTATACTTTCGCTTAAAACATCTGTCAAAAAACCGTTGTAGAGTATTGAGTTCGGCTGGAGAAGAACCGTAGACGGACAGGCCAAACGTTATAGTTGATATTACTACGGTCTTAAATAGATAATCTATCTCACATTGGCTATAGCCTTCTGCCCTGAGTGTTCGTATAACGTACAAGCATTTGTTTGCTTTGACCAATTTACCTCGCACATGACTGGTGAACTTGAGATTGTCTTGAAAAGTAGTACCTAAAATGGAAGTTCTTTGCATTGGGGTATATTATAAACATTGTCAAGTTGATCATTATATCTCTTCTTCCGGATGATAAGCTCTTTACATTTACCAGGGTTACAAGTCATAAAATTATCATCAGACCAGCTCAGGAATTGTCCAACTGTATCTGTTGATGTATCAGGACCCTCACTCCAAACTGGCACTATTATGTTTGAATCGTCCGCATATTTAAAAAGAGCGTTCTCGCCGTATATGTCCACCTCTAAATTATTTAGAAAAATATTAAAAAGGTAGGGGCCACTTACGCTCCCCTGTGTTGTACCCTTATTAACATCCATCCATTCTCCACAAAAATCGTTACAAACGACTCTTTGCTTTCTATTTTTTAGAAAATTTAAATACCAATTTATGATATAAGGGTTAAGTGGCAAAGTTTTTAACTTTTCCGAGAGGAGTGAATGTTTCACTGAGTCGAAAGCCTTGCTAAAATCCATAGAAAACAGTCTAACTGCTTTGCAGTCCGCTCTATCTAAGAAGCTGAGTGCTTTGTTCTGAATAGTTAACAGAGCGTTTGTACAACGCCCCCACAGTGCGAAAAAACAGATTTGCACTAGGCTTTGCAACCCGGTGCAAAGCGACTTGACCTGACTATTATAAACGAGCTTTTCGAAGGTCCTCGCAATTACAGGTGTAATATTTATTCCACGAAAGTCACCATCTTCCTTTGGTAAATCAACCTTTGCAAGAGGGTTAATATTCGCTCTTTTCCATGAATCTGGCCAAGTATGTGATGAAAGGGACAAATTCCAGACGTTAGTTATAACTTCGGTTAGAATTTCCGCATGATCATTCCAAACCCAATAGGGAATATAATCGGGACCTGTTGCTGTCCTCTTTATTCTTTTCAAGGCATTCCATACCTGCTGTTCCGTAAAGCTAGGAATATCTACTTCATCACCAATAATTGAGAGCGTCGGTTCGACATAACTATCATCGTGGCAGAGTTCGCCAAAGTAGCGATTTAATCTTGTAAGTGATGCATTATCTAAAGTAACTCTTGATGACGATGCATTTCGCTGAGAAATATCATTCGTCTTTCTCCACCAAGTTCTACTTCCCACCAAGGCCCTAAAATTTCTTCTGTTTTGACAAATGACATCAGAAATCCTTTTGTTAATTAAACTGAGTCTATCCTTTTGCGACCGAGCAATTCTGGATTTAGATTTTAGCAAAGATTTAATTAAAGGACTCATCCAGTAAGGGTCACCTGACGAAATTGAGACTGTTTTTGTGGGCATACATTTATTCATATGATCCATGATCTTACGTTCAAGACAATTCACAGCGTCATTTACATTCGTGGACTGCGATACATTCTCCCAATCTTCTTCTGCTAAAGCTTTGTGGAAATCTTCCTTTCGATGCTTTCTACAATCCCGAAATTCAACCTTTCGGCGCATAGATTTTAGTTTCGTTCCTGCTGGTAAAATAACCCCCATGTGGTCTGTTTTAGTTAACATGTGGAAAGGATATCATTTTGAGAACAAATCTATTCTATTTGTAAGGCAGTTATCCAAATATGCGTTACCCCTTGTTGAAAAGTCGACCATTGCATCCCATCCTGATAGTTCCTCAAGGTGTTTTATGTCCAAACTGTTCAAATCCCCTCCACAAACAATTACAGTGTCTGGATATTTGTCCAGAACGTCGTCAGAAATATTTATTAAATAATCCAATAAGTCGCTCTCCAGATAATTGTGCCTAGGTGGGTGATAAAGGCCATATATCGACATGCGGTTTCCTGTAGGTAACAGAAGTGTGTCACCAATAAGTTCGTACAAACTGGATCGATAAATATCAATAACTTTTAAGCTGTTCCGAACATATATTGCTACCCCTCCTTTTGCTCTCATATCGCATCCTTCACAACTTCTATCTCTTCTAAATATTGAATAATTGTGAATGGTCACCACAGCATCTGGCATTTCAGGTTTCAGGTGACTCTCGCTCACCACACATACATCTACATCGTTATTGAGCAAGTCTGCCTCCAGTGCAACTACAGCTCGTACTCGATTTTTTGTTTTTGCCAGACTACATATATTGATAAACATAAACTTAGGAACAGCAAAACCTGACTCTCTCGAAGGAACTTTACTTGTGGATGTTAAATTAATAGGTACCAAGTAACTTCGTCTCTTTGAGTTAATATTTGAAGTATTATTAAAATTACAGTGGTGGTAATTTTGTCTCTGTGTAATTCTAACAGGAATAGCTAAGTTCTTTTTCTTATCATCCCATGAACAAATTCTAGGTAATTCAACCAATCTTTCTGATTTTGTTGTGGTTGACGGTTTGGCTGGAAATTTTGATATGATTGCGCTTCTCTCAGCTTGCCCCAAAATCAAGCGGTGGGCTGCTCATCTATTTAAAGTGAAACCCACTAAGCCACCTTTCATCTTGGAATCCTTGTTTAAGGTTTGTGCGATCGTCTGATCACACGGTACACTAAAGAACTGACGATCCTTCTGTCCTTGCACAGTCCAGTTATCTTCAATATTTTCAGCAACATCTGTAAGAAAATTATGACAATGATGGTACAGCTTTACATTTTGAACATAATTATAATGAAGTATATTACCCCTTTTGATGAGCATTGTTCTCTCCTGATTCATTCTCTTAGTAAATGCAATAAATATGTACACGTATATACAAACTGAGACTTCATTAAAGAACTTACAGGGATGTGTGCTTTCAAGGAAAGACATTTCAGCCAGTAGCAGGGCCCATATCGGGAATAGTTGACTCTATCGGTAGAAAAAACCCCATGGGATCATTGACCTCAGGACGGAAAAATGTAACTGTGAGTCGGACGTTCTTGTTGCTCGAACGAACAGTAACAACAACTGGATCATTTCGATGTAAGTAAACCAAAACAAAAAGGCAGGGTTTTCTTCACTACGCTTCTTTACGAACGAATCGAACGCCTCTTTGCAAGCGATGAAACGATCGTCAATCGAACAGAATTCTTCAGCTTCGTTATCTGGTAGAGACTCTTAAAATGCCAAGAAACGAAGTCGTTGCATTGCCTCGAAAACCACTTTATGCGCTCTGATATATCGGTTGTAGTGCTTCCATGTAAGAACCCCTTTAACAGAACCCTATGCAACAATCTCGGATTCTATCATTATACTGTATCCAAAAACATGAAACAGAACAATTATTATTATTATTATTATTATTAATCAATTGATAAATTACATATCAAGTGTTACAAATCAATTATTTTAAAATATATTACAAGTTTTTAACATTAAAAATTTTTTAGGTTATATTAGAGTTGCAAAGCTAAATTATATCTAAAAATACATCTATTGATGAAACTATTTTAAAACGCTCGGTAGAAATGTTTGGCCACTGTGCCTCTTGTGTTCTAAGTTTAACTGTATATTCTTTAATTTTTGGACAGATTTCTCTTAACGGATGATTGTTTTGTTTACACAGCTTTTCAAACAGCTTTCTATCTGTCTGCTCTAACAGTATATTAATATCTATTTGTTCTGATGTGTATCTTCTTTTATAACAACGAGTTAAGAAGTTTTGAATAGTTGTTAACTCCGGTGGTGATGCAGCAATTACTGATAAGCCATAGGTAAGTTGTGACAGGACCAGTGACCTAAAAAGAAGATCTATTCGTCTTGACTATATCCTTCATTCCTCAGTTTTCGAATTACAAACAAGCATTTATTTGCTTTCACCAACTTTTTCTTAACACATTTTGTTGAGTTCAATATAAAACTGTATGTTATCCAAATATTAGTATGACGTAATACTGAGAGACAAATGCATGATGGGATTGTTGTGTTGTTAGTTGAACTTCCTCGTGAAAGCAACTTACTGTACAAAACTACATTTGTAATAAACGTGAAAATAAAGAGTGATTTCATTACAAATACGGTGTTCTAAAGTCATGGCTTCAACAGGTTATGGGCCCAGCAGAGAATCACGCTGGTCAAGGTTGACTTTCGATGGAAACGAAAGCAATTACGAACTGTGGGAAGCGAAATTCCTCGCGCACATGAGGTTATTAAAACTAAAGGATACTACCCTGCCGTCTAAGGAAGAGGCTGACACAACGAAGAACGAAGAATGCTACGCCGAGCTTATACAGTGTTTGGACGACACCAGTCTGTCATTGGTAATCAGGGATGCTACCGACGATGGCCGAAGGCTTTACAAATACTCCGAGACCATTATGCAAATCAAGGCAAACCAAGAATCATCACACTCTACACTGAGCTAACGTCACTTGAAAAAGCACTTCACGAGACAGTCACAGATTACTTAATAAGAGCCGAGAAAGCAATAACAGCGCTTAAGAACGCCAAGAAACGTTAAGCGATGGGCTAATAATTGCTATGATCTTAAAGGGGCTGCCTGATTCATATAAACCGTTCTCGATACATGTGACCCAAAGTGCAAGTGAGATAACGATCGCGAAGTTTAAGAGCATGTTGAGGAGCTTCGAAGAAACGGAAAAGCTCAACACCAAACCGAAAGTTGATCAGGTAATGAAAGCTGAGTTTCCTTCGCAAACAATGACATGTTATGGCTGCGGGAAAAGAGGGTATTTAGTCAGAGAGTGCCCTGCTAAGAGCGAGAAGAAGTGGTGTAACTATCACAAAAGTACAACACACTTGGATAGCACCTGCAGAAGTCAGCAAAAGAGCAAAGACCAAGCCAAACAGGTGTCGGAGAAAGAAAACACCTCTAAAGATGAACATTCATTTGCATTCAAAGTTAACGACGAAGCAACAGGGAAAATCAATCGAATGGGAATGTTGGTTGACACAGGTGCCACTTCTCACATTGTTACTACTGATATTTTAAAGCAAATAGACATGACATTTAAACCATCAAAACATTACATTGAACTGGCTGATGGCACACGAGCCAGTAATATTGCATTGAAACGAGGGGATGCTGAAGTGTTTCTGAAAGATACAAATGGAAAATGTGTGAAAACGGTGCTGAAAAACGCCTTATATATACCATCCTATCCTCAAGATATTTTCTCAGTGAAGGCAGCCACATCAAATGGAGCCGAGCTTCGATTTGCCCAAGATACTGGTGAGCTAACCCTTGAAGATGGTACCATTGTTGAAATTGAAGAACATGGACGGTTGTACTATTTGACTTCCATAGACAGTCAAGAGAACGATAGCGTAAGTGAAGTAGATAAAGTAAATCTCTCGTATGATATTAACACATGGCATGAAATCCTAGGGCACTGCAATTTTGAAGATATTATAAAACTACAGGGGGTAGTTAAGGGCATGAAATTCTCAGGTAAAATTGAGTCATCTAAGTTAGGTTGTAATACATGTGTAGAAGGAAAATTTGTAAACAGCAGGAGTAGGATTCCTGATGCAAGATCTCAAAAATCATTGGAGAAAGTGCATGTGGATTTGGCAGGTCCAGTTTCTCCTGTATCAAGAGAGGGGTTTAAGTACTGCATAGCTTTTACTGATGATTTCTCAGGAGCAGTATTTGTTTACTTTCTGAAATGTAAAAGTGACACCTTTGTAGCAACAGAGAAATTTCTAGCAGACATCACTCCTTATGGCAAGGTAAGTTGCATCCGTTCTGACAATGGCTCAGAATTTACAGGTAAGGCGTTTCAAACACTACTAAGGGAGCGTGGCATAAAACATGAAACTTCTGCTCCCTACTCGCCACACCAGAATGGCACCGCCGAAAGGCACTGGCGCACATTGTTCGAAATGGGCAGATGTCTTCTTCTTCAATCAGGGTTACCCAAAACTCTCTGGCCCTATGCAATTCAAACCGCAGCTCACATTAGGAATAGATGTTTTAATAAGAGAACAAAGACAACACCCTACTTTAGCCTTACTGGGAAAGTACCTGATCTTTCTAAAATGTGGATCTTTGGATCTGAATGTTTTGCTTACGAACAGGAGCATAAGAAATTAGACTCAAGATGCAGCAAGGGGGTATTTGTGGGATACGACAAAAATAGCCCTTCTTACCTAGTGTACTACCCAAAAAATGGGAAAATCATGAAACATCGACTCATTAGATTCATCAAGAAATGTAGTGTAGAACAGCACACACAAACTGATGAGTCCAGCAGGGATTGTGATGTACATGAGAAATCTGATCATGATACTAGATCAGACTTAGATAGTATGAGCCTCCCTGTTTTAAGTGCAATGCCGCCAAATACAGTGCCTGATGAGGAGCCTAGGGATAGTGAGGGAAGGCATTGCAACCATACTGAGAATGACAGTGAGACAAAACGGTATCCTCAAAGAGAAAGGAACCCTCCCAGATACTTAGAAGAGGACACCCTCCTCCCTAAGAATGCCGATTGTGCCCACATTAGTGTAGATTACTGCTACAAAGTTTGTGGATTACCACAAAATTACACAGAAGCCATGGGATCACCTCAAGCTAGGGAGTGGGAGCAAGCAATGAAGGAAGAGATCAGCTCTCTGAAGGAAAATGATACTTACGAATTATCAACTTTACCAGAAGGTAAAGCTTCAGTAGGGGGAAAATGGGTGTACACAACCAAACAAGATCAGAATGGCATAGAGTCCTTTAAGGCCAGATATGTAGCGAAGGGTTACAGCCAGGTAAAGGGTATAGATTATCAAGAAACTTTCGCCCCGACAGCCAGTATTACTTCAATTAGGGTCTTAATGCAGTTAGCAGTAAAACATGATCTTATTGTCCACCAGATGGACGTTAAAACTGCATATCTGCATGCCCCCATTACTCAAGAGTTATACATAGACCAGCCACAAGGGTTTGAAGAGGTTTCAGAGAGTGGTGAGAGGTTAGTATATAGGCTAAAGAAATCGCTATATGGTCTAAAACAATCAGGTAGAAATTGGAACATATTGTTACACGAGCATTTAGCAAATGACGGTTTTGTCAGAAACCATGCTGATCACTGTGTATATAAGAAACAAGTTGATGATAAAATTGTTATCGTCATTGTTTGGGTTGATGACCTAATCATAGCTTCAGATAGTATGCAGTTAATGGAAGAATTTAAAGAAAGTATGAAGACACAATTTAAGATGAAAGATCTAGGTAGAATCACTTTCTTCCTTGGAATGGATTTTAAGCAAAGCAAGGGTGAAATAAAAATTAATCAGAAAAGATTCATTCTTAAAATACTAGAGAGATTTGGAATGATAGACTGCAAGCCCAGGTTAACCCCATGTGAGCAACGATTAGAATTTAACTGTGGTGAATTGACCAACGCCAGACAGTATAGAGAAATGATAGGAAGCCTAATTTATGCCATGACCTGTACAAGGCCTGATTTAAGTTGGATTGTAAGCAGACTGTCTCAAACTCTGTCAAACCCCAGAACGGGAGATTTAATTGCTGCCAAACATGTCCTAAGGTATCTAAAGGGTACCGTGGATTATGAACTCTGCTTTAAGAAATCTGATGCTGACTTGCAGCTCACTGCTTATAGTGATTCAGATTGGGCCTCTTGCCTGGAAGACAGGCGAAGTACTACAGGTTACTGTTGTACTCTAACTGAAGGAGGACCACTGATTTCATGGAAGTCGAGAAAGCAACCAACGGTTGCCATTTCCACTTGCGAAGCTGAATATGTAGCTTTAGCAAATAC